GTGCTAGGATTTGAACGTGTTTTTAGTAGATTGGTCAGAGGGCGCTTCTGGGCCTACATACGGACAAGCTATGGACAACACAAGAACGGTTGGCACTGAAACGTCAGATTTCATCAAGTTTTTGAACACCGAAGTGGGACATAGATTCGACCAGAACCACTGCATCGGACACAGTTTGGGTGCTCATTGCTGTGGATTTACAGGCGATTATACACAATCTTTACCGACTCCAACTGGTACAATAGGAAGAATTTCAGGTACGTACTCACAAATAATCGTGTTTCTTCGTCTGCACACAAATACAGTTATGGCGTGTTTTACATGCGTACGACTGTGTCATCGTGGTCATCTAATGAGAATAGTGATAAAACATTCGTAATATTGTATTGTTTCTGTGTACTAATTACCGTACCTTTCTTGGATTGAATGCTTCTATAACCAGTCAGAGGTCAGAGATGGAAGGTCAACTCACGTTTTGGTTGTGTCTAGTTCAGTTGTTGCTCCCACTCAACAATCACCATTGCTGAAAACAATGACGTCAAAAGCATTTCAGAGATAGGTTAATGTCTTGATTACTTAATTCCCATAAGTTCACGACTTGAAGAATTTCACTCATACAAGTGGCAAACAAACCACACAGTTCAATCAAGCAAAGCGGTGTGGCACGATTTAATTACTAAAGTTTTCGAACATGAAACGTTAATCCCGGCACCCCAAACTACACGGCTATATGACAAGGTAACTGCAATTCATGGCACTGGTATGGCGATTGACAAGGGCGTATGTTTTAGCACATATAACAGTCATGATATTCTGAGTAAAAATCAGTCTATATTTTTTTGTGTTACGATTAGTCAGCTTGTTGTTGTTGTTAAATGCAGTGTAAATCTGTTGTTGAGGAAAAGTGTCAAATGTTCAGCATTAAATGACAATTTAGCAGCAATTCCCATAGACCACAGTGTAGTTCCCATATACCACAGTACCATTTCCATATACCACAGTGCAGTTCACATATACCACAGTGCAGTTCCTATAGACGAAAGTACAATTCCCATATACCACAATGCAGTTCCCATATACCACAGTGAAGTTCCCGTAGACCATAGTGCAGTTCCCATAGACCACAGTGCAGTTCCCATATACAACAGTGCAGTTCCCATTTACCACAGTGCAGTTCCCACATACCACAGTGCAGTTCCCATACACCACAGTACAGTTCCCAGAGACCATAGTGCAGTTCCCATATACCACAGTGTAGTTCCCATAGACCACAGTGCAGTTCCCGTATACCACAGTGCAGTTCCATAGACCATATTGAACTTCCCATATACCACAGTGCAGTTCCATAGACCATATTGAAGTTCCCGTAGACCATAGTGTAGTTAACATGGACCACAGTGCAGTTTCCACACACCACAGTGCAGTTCCCATAGACCACAGTGCAGTTCCCATAGACCACAGTGAAGTTCCCATATACCACAGTGCAGTTCCCATAGACCACAGTGAAGTTCCCATATACCACAGTGCAGTTCCCATAGACCACAGTGCAGTTCCCATAGACCACAGTGCAGTTCCCATAGACCACAATGAAGATAAAATTCGAATTTAAAACCCACGTAGAATAATGTAAACTTTGCAATACAAATTAATCAGCTTATATAACTCATGACGAAATGCCCTGTCACAGGAAACCATGGCGAAATGCCCTGTCACAGGAAACCATGGCGAAATGCCCTGTCACAGGAAACCATGGCAAAATGCCCTGTCACAGGGAACCATGGCGAAATGCCCTGTCTCAGGAAACCATGGCGAAATGCCCTGGCACAGGAAACCATGGCGAAATGCCCTGTCACAGGAAACCATGGCGAAATGTCCTGTTACAGGAAACCATGGCGAAATGCCCTGTCTCAGGAAACCATGGCGAAATGCCCTGTCTCAGGAAACCATGGCGAAATGCCCTGTCACAGGAAACCATGGCGAAATGCCCTGTCACAGGAAACCATGACTAAATGCCCTGTCACAGAAAACCATGGCGAAATGCCCTGTATCAGGAAACCATGGCGAAATGCCCTGTCACAAGAAACCATGACGAAATGCTATGTCACAGGGCCCTAATGCCCTAAAACAGATAAAACATGCTATTTTCACACAATTTTAGACATAAAGTACGGTGACTCCTTCCCATATTTTATTTCACTTTCTTCATTTTTTTAACGTGAAATGTCACATATGTAAAAAAACACACAAAGAAAATGAAATTAATCGTCTTTAACTCGCAGTTAGGTCAATGACAATTTTTTTCGCATAGGATTGTCGGACGATGGTAGGATTCGAGTTGAGTTTGTGGATAGATGGCAATTTATTTATTCGGAGATTTCTAAGAAATCTGTCAAACCAACAAAATTTCATGTTTTTCTCATTCTCGTGCAGGCCGGCGTAACATAGATTGTAATAAATCAATAATAACATTACATTACTGATAGTTTGAAGACGAGTTTTGCAGATTTATTACATTACCATATATTATTATTACAATACAGGGGTTAATAATTTACCAATTAAATTCAAAAACATGTGGGACATGGTAAATAGTTGTCTATAGTATATTACTCTACATTGTATTACATAGTGCATGTAACAATGGGCGCGTTTCAAAGAACTACCCTAATAGAATAAGGAGGTGACGAAGAGTGGTATATAGGACATTTATCATTATATTTCCCTGTAAAACATCGTTGGTAATTATTGGTCACAGTATTGTATTCTCACCGACTAAACGTTACTTTCTGGTTCTTTCACCAGGCATGGATCCTGCTGGACCAGGCTTTGAAGATGAAACACGCAACAACCGCCTTGATGATACGGATGCCAGTTTTGTTGACGTCATGCACACAGACGGTGATGGTATAGTAGGATATGGAATCAAGATGGAGGTACAGCCAACATGACATCACATACCACCACACCACACAATACTAGATTACATTACATTAGATTACGGTACACGCCACGCGACATGACACAACATGGCACAACACCACGCACGCACGACACAGAATGACTTGACGGACACGACATGACAATACTATTATATTATATAGTAACGCACATGCATTCCTTTTCGCCTGAACAACTTAGGGATAAAATAATTTTAAGACACAAATAAATCATATCAGAATGTAATTCATACGACTCACACTATCTCAAAGGTTATATCACTTTATTACCATAGTTGGTGGGTGAACTAAAGGCAACTACAAATATACAACCACAGTACAACTTTATATATTTAGCTTTGGTAAATGTATTCGAAGGTGGTTATATAGGGCAATCCAGGTCTGATGTTCTCGGCAAAGAGCAATATCCATGTCTGGTGTTCTGGGTTCAGAACAATTCAGGTCTGATGTTCTGGGTTCAGAACAATCCAGGCCTGATGTTCTGGGTTAAGGACAATCCAGGTCTGATGTTCTGGGTTCAGAACAATCCAAGTCTGATGTTCTCCCCAAAGAGCAATATCCATGTCTGGTGTTCTGGGTTCAGAACAATCCAGGTCTGATGTTCCGGGCACATGGCAATCCAGGTCTAATGTCCTGGGCAGAGAGCAATCCAGGTCTGATGTCCTAGGCAAAGGGCAATCCAGGTCTGGTGTTCCGGGCAAAGAGCAATCCAGGTCTGGTGTTCCCGGCTAAGGGCAACCCAGGTCTTATGTTCTGGGCAAAGGGCAACCCAGGTATTATGTTCTGGGCAAAGGACAATCCAGGTCCGATGTTCTGGGCTAAGGGCAATCCAGGTCTGATGTTCCGGGCAAAGGGCAACCCAGGTCTTATGTTCTGGGCAAAGGACAACCCAGGTCTTATGTTCTGGGCAAAGGACAATCCAGGTCCGATGTTCTGGGCTAAGAGCAATCCAGGTCTGGTGTCCTGGGCAAAGAGCAATCTAGGTCTGATGTCCTGGGCAAAGAGCAATCCAGGTCTGGTGTCCTGGGCAAAGAGCAATCCAGGTCTGATGTTCTGGGTTCAGAACAATCCAGGTCTTATGTTCTGGGCAAAGGACAATCTAGGTCTGGTGTTCCGGGCAAAGAGCAATCCAGGTCTGGTGTCCTGGGCAAAGAGCAATCCAGGTCTGGTGTCCTGGGCAAAGAGCAATCCAGGTCTGGTGTCCTGGGCAAAGAGCAATCCAGGTCTGGTGTCCTGGGCAAAGAGCAATCCAGGTCTGATGTTCTGGGCAAAGGACAATCTAGGTCTGGTGTTCCGGGCAAAGGGCAACCCAGGTCTTATGCTCTGGGCAAAGGACAATCCAGGTCTTATGTTCTGGGCAAAGGACAATCCAGGTCTGAAGTTCTGGGCAAAGAGCAATCCAGGTCTGATGTCCTGGGCAGAGATCAATCCAGGTCCGATGTTCTGGGTTCAGAACAACCCAGGTCTTATGTTCTGGGCAAAGAGCAATCCAGGTCTGATGTCCTGGGCAAAGAGCAATCTAGGTCTGATGTCCTGGGCAAAGAGCAATCCAGGTCTGGTGTCCTGGGCAAAGAGCAATTCAGGTCTGATGTCCTGGGCAGAGATCAATCCAGGTCCGATGTTCTGGGTTCAGAACAACCCAGGTCTTATGTTCTGGGCAAAGAGCAATCCAGGTCTGATGTCCTGGGCAAAGAGCAATCCAGGTCTGGTGTCCTGGGCAAAGAGCAATCCAGGTCCGATGTTCTGGGTTCAGAACAACCCAGGTCTTATGTTCTGGGCAAAGAGCAATCCAGGTCTGATGTCCTGGGCAAAGAGCAATCCAGGTCTGGTGTCCTGGGCAAAGAGCAATCCAGGTCTGATGTTCTGGGTTCAGAACAATCCAGGTCTTATGTTCTGGGCAAAGGACAATCTAGGTCTGGTGTTCCGGGCAAAGAGCAATCCAGGTCTGGTGTCCTGGGCAAAGAGCAATCCAGGTCTGGTGTCCTGGGCAAAGAGCAATCCAGGTCTGGTGTCCTGGGCAAAGAGCAATCCAGGTCTGATGTTCTGGGTTCAGAACAATCCAGGTCTGAAGTTCTGGGCAAAGAGTAATCCAGGTCTGATGTCCTGGGCATAGAGCAATCCAGGTCTGATGTTCTGGGCAAAGAGCAATCCAGGTCTGGTGTTCCGGGCAAAGGGCAATCCAGGTCTGGTGTTCTTGGCTAAGGGCAACCCAGGTCTGATGTTCTGGGCAAAGGGCAATCCAGGTCTGGTGTTCCGGGCAAAGGGCAATCCAGGTCCGGTGTTCTTGGCTAAGGGCAACCCAGGTCTTATGTTCTCGGCTAAGGGCAATCCAGGTCCGATGTTCTGGGCTAAGGGCAATCAAGATCTGATGTTCTGCGCAAAGGGCAATCCAGTTCTGGTGTTCCTGGCTAAGGGCAATCCTGGTCCGATGTTCTGGGCAAAGGGCAATCCAGGTCTGATTTTCTGCGCAAAGGGCAATCCAGATCTGATGTCCTGGGCAAAGAGCAATCCAGATCTGATGTTCTGGGTCCAGAACAATCCAGGTCTGAAGTTCTGGGCAAAGAGTAATCCAGGTCTGATGTCCTGGGCAAAGGGCAATCCAGGTCTGGTGTTCCGGGCAAAGGGCAATCCAGGTCTGGTGTTCCAGGCAAAGAGCAATCCTGGTCTGGTGTTTGTTCTCGGCTAAGGGCAATCCAGGTCAGATGTTCTGGGCCAATGGCAATACAGGTCTGATGTTCTGGGCCAATGGCAATCCAGGTCAGATGTTTAGAGAGTGAAGGGGGGGGGGGTTAAACCAATAACATTTTAAACGGTTCAAAATCGCTGATGGAAATACGTGTAACCAGTTTGATTTGGTGGCAATTATATTAGATTTTGCCACAAATAGTGCCATGATCCATTTCAAAGTTCGTGGGAAAATAATGCGAGGAATTACTTAATAACTGGTCTACAATAATTTGTAGCAAAGCAATATATGAATTATTATTTTTTTTTATTTAATAAAATTTTATTTTCTAATAATAATTACAATGGTTCACATAACAATAAAACGTCACAGACACGACATACAAAACATTACAAAAATAGTTTAGTACATTCCAACAAGGGTACCAACGCACCCCAATTTAAAACGTACTTTGTTTCGTTCAAGACATTTTTTTCAATACATTTCTTTTCTTTGACAATCTTTATAAAATAATCAAGAGAAGGCGTTACATTTGTAAAGCGGCATATATATAACACATATTCACCTATTAAAATAAGATGGTTTAATAGTATACATTTTTGGGGAAATCCAAAGAGAATACGTTCACAGCTTAGCAATATTATCACTTTCCGGTATAGCCCCCCCTCCCCCCAATAATTTTGAAATAATCTCCAAAACAAAATTGTGGTTGTACATTCCCAGAAGAGATGTTCAATTGTTTCTTTTTGTTTACAATATTTACAACAATTGTCCAATCGGATTTTATTTTGGAAAAGGTTGGTTGCCAAAATTCCAACTGAAAAATGCGCAGTTTTTCTTCCATTGTGGTAACGTAATATATGAATTATTGATATCAAATTGCATGGTTTCGTTCAGAAATGTGGAAACAGTAACAGTTATCACTGTCGACTTTTTTTCAGAGTGGTCATACAGATTTCTATCCAAATGGTGGCGCTGATCAGCCTGGATGTGCATTGGTCGGTGGTGAGTTCTCATTACATGATATAAGAACGATTTTGAGTAGATTGTACATATCTTTCTATGCGGCAAGGCATGTGATTCATAAATACCCGATAATGGTGCTGAAATGAACTAAATTTATTTGTTCATAACACACATGATTCTCTGTGTTGACATAATCTGTCAGAAAATCTGTGCTCTGCCTGCATCAGGGATTTTATATCATAACACACATGATTCTCTGTGTTGACATAATCTGTCAGAAAATCTGTGCTCTGCTTGCATCATGGATTTTATATCATAACACACATGATTCTCTGTGTTGACATAATCTGTCAGAAAATCTGTGCTCTGCCTGCATCAGGGATTTTATATCATAACACACATGATTCTCTGTGTTGACATAATCTGTCAGAAAATCTGTGCTCTGCCTGCATCAGGGATTTTATATCATAACACACATGATTCTCTGTGTTGACATAATCTGTCAGAAAATCTGTGCTCTGCCTGCATCAGGGATTTTGTACTAATAATAGAGCCAACATGATGATGTAATAACAGTAAAAAAACAATTGTTAAGTAATTCGTTTTTCCTGGAGTATTCATGACAACTACTACTGCAACGAACTTACAGGGAGTCAATGTAAACAAGATGTAACCACTTATAACAACACGAGTTGCTTTATAAGAAACTAACGCCAGTAGACTGATTTGACATAAATAAAGAGACATAAAGTTAAAAATCAAATTAATATGACATGTTAATAGCTCGCTAACGGTATATAATTGCATTGTTGTGTATATTTACAGGAGTTTGTGACCACAGCCGAGCTCACCAATACTACCTTGAGTCCATTTTGACCGACTGCAAATTTCTGTCGTATCCATGTGCAGTGGGTGACAAATGTTACACATGTGGAAGCGGATGTAATCGTATGGGTTTCTGGGGTACAAAGAATCCATCTGGCACGTTCTACTTGGAAACCAACGATGATTATCCATATTGCCAAGCATGAGGAGTGAACCAATAATACTTCCCTATTGACACTTTCTTGCTATTGCTTAGTCAATTTTTAGAAAAAAATTGATTAAACTGCGTTGACGATTATAGGTTATGAGAATGCGTATGTACATACAATTCATTAATGGATGAAACTGAAAATAACAAGCAGCCTCTCAACTGAGATAGCTCCGGTATTAGCAATTCACAATTGAACAAATCTGAGAGGTCTACCTGAGGTACCTATATGTATAGTATCAAAACAATCGGAGTTGATGTTTTCAACAACTCGAAAATATAACTTTTTACCAAAAATGACAAAAATAGTCATCCAAATTAGAGAATTAAATATATCATCACGAAATGAACAAATCTGAGAGAGGTCAACCGTACCTGTAGTGCCTGTATCAAGCGGTTAATTATCGTATTATTAAAAGAATCATCTGAGGTACAAGGTTCGGGGAATTCGCCACTTTTCGACTGAACAAAGACACACACACAGGTAGAAATACGCGTCAACTTCTGACCTCAGTCGCCCTGTGGAGAGCTCGACAAGGCTGGCTTGCCTTGCCGGTAACTCCGCCATGACTCCCACAAGACTGACTCTCTTGGTCAGCTCGCCAAGACAGACTCAAACCAGCTTTATTAACTTCTTACCTCTTAGCCAATTATAAGGGAGTATAAAGACTGTAAGGCGTAGCCTTCAATCATACAGCCAATCACACGAAGTACTGGACACGTCATATCTACTGATTAATCGTTCACTATATTAATTAACTACAAATACCAAACTGTCAGAAATAGTAGTCAGATTGGCGACGTTTATATCGCAATTACTAGTAGTTCCATTCGCTGAGTCGAGTTCTGCCCAGGACCTCGTATAAGCTTAAATGTTGACAGGTTATGACTCTCTTGGTCAGCTCGCCAAGACAGACTCAAACCAGCTTTATTAACTTCTTACCTCTTAGCCAATTACAAGGGAGTATAAAGACTGTAAGGCGTAGCCTTCAATCATACAGCCAATCACACGAAGTACTGGACACGTCATATCTACTGATTAATCGTTCACTATATTAATTAACTACAAATACCAAACTGTCAGAAATAGTAGTCAGATTGGCGACGTTTATATCGCAATTACTAGTAGTTCCATTCGCTGAGTCGAGTTCTGCCCAGGACCTCGTATAAGCTTAAATGTTGACAGGTTATCCACTAGAACTCAACTATCAAGTCGTATCAGTGACCCATCTTCTTAGACACAGAAATAAATCATGACACCTGTATGTATAATATCAAAGCAATCGGATTCACAGTTGTCATCAAGAAGTCGAAAATATCACTTTTTACCAAAAAATTCAAAAATATTCATCAAAATTAGAGATTTGAAGATATCATCACGAAATAAACAAATAAAGATCACTCATATAACAAGCTCCGTCGATAGCTCCGCTAAAAAAGTGGAGGGTCTTGAAAAGTTAGGTGAGATCTGCCACAGCATTGGCCGGTACAGTGAAAAGAATATTTCAATATACGCACTCTTTATCGTGCTATTGCCGAATTACTGACCCAACTAGAGAATGACTATTTTAGTCTCTTATTACTTGCAAAGTACTGAGTTAATTGGATTCTGTATGATAAATTTGCAACGTGTGCGTAGCAAGAGAATCTACATTATAAGGCAGTGACGGCGGCACAGGGGCAGATGGGCGATCACCCCTTCGAAAAAAATATGGGGGGGGCGTCGCCCCTTCAAAATCAAGCTGAAACCCTTCGTGTCAGCAAAATTTGCCCCTCATAATGCAAGAAATATCATTTCAGAGGGTCTAGATTTCCAAATTTTTAAGGGGGAGCATGCCCCTGTAAGGTCACGCCTACGGCGCAAGGTTCGTTGGTGATCAGATCTCGCCCCTCCATGCAAAATTTCGCCGCCTCTGTAAGGGAATTGACTCACCAGAGATTGTTATCCTAGAACGTGTTACAGCAAACAAGACGTCATCTCACCGACTGATCTTTGCTGAAAACAATTATTGTCGTTTCTGTCATATTATCTATAAAACGACTGTGGAACATTCAGCAAACCTAGTACACAGACTGTAAACGATATGCTGTAACATATCAACAAAACCAAAAAGTCGCGATTATACAAAATTGAAAAAAACAAGTCAAAAACATGCTTTCAGCTGTCATGTAACCATTTCGAATGCGGAGAGCTTATTAGAGTTTTTTTCTGCCCGGTGACTAACAGCAAATTTGGGACATAGCGAATTGCTACGAATGAGAGTTGTAAACATCACGGGACGCGCGGGGGGGGGGGGGTCAGCTTACACTTACACTGGAAAAATTTCTCACAGCCGAGAATTCTCAGTACCTCGAATACAGCGCTTCTGTTCGATTCGGTAGTAACCACGTGACTTTTAAACTTCCGGGTTCGAAACGTTTTGTGTTCTACAGTATAAACTACACATAGTGCACGATGTTTTGAGCAGAATGGCAATCAGTTCAGCCATCATAGAAGTAGAGTCATTTCTGCCATCCAGTGTGTTGTTTATTTTCATCGAATAAAATTATACAAATGCAGTTTTCAACGTTCTTTTGTTGTTAAATTTGTCATCTCTATTCGAACTTATGTTGTCTATTTTTATAAGTCACTGGAACACATCAACTCATCAAAATTTATGGCATATTGGTTAACCAATATATTAAAGGGGGTAGTCGTCGCGCCGCGCATGAGCGAGATATGGGTCTCATATAAACAAAGATGGCGATATTGACTGTTGCGCACACCAACTAGCACACACTACTTTAAATGGTATTTTTTGATGATTGGAAGGTATCGAAGGAGTCGCTAGCAGTAATTAGTGCAAGTGGCACCCAGGGCAAAACTCGAACTCGTGATTTCATTAGATTAGGGGAAAATAAATGTTTATGCGCGCATGCGCGACGCGACGACCACCGCTCTTTAAACCTCATATCATACCAATAATGTTAGAAATTTAATTCGTACTAACCTCGTTCGACCGAGAATCTGAAATGCTCATAGAAACTGTTAAATTTTCCATGATTTGTTTTATTTAACATTCTGCTACATCACGTGTAATTTAAGATATGGAACCACGTTCAGATCATGCCCATTTATTTTCTCTGTGTACTTGCAACTCAAATGTGCTACTTTTATTATGTCTCACTGCAGTGAGCCTATTTTTGTTTCACGTTGTTAGCGGCTAAACCGAATGGAGCTCTGCTTAAGTTATATAAGATTAACATTTGCACTCATTCAACATATTTTAACATTTTTTGAGACAGCTTCTAAGAAGTTGATATATGATAAAACACACTCAAAAGAACGTCAATAAGTTATTCGACTGTAATATGCAAATGTTACTATGTCAACCTTTGCCCGTGATGCAATGCGCGAAAGATAGTGGGAACGTTAAAAAAACGCGCGCGTTTCATAGTATTCGAAGTACTGAGTATTATATCAAGGCGATACGTCCAATGATTTCAAGCCACTGACATGGTCACGTGATTATTGGATCCTGAATCTCATGCAAAAGTACATGATACAGACGACATATTTATAAACACGTGTATGAACAATATGTGTTTATTACATTGCCTTATTATGAGACACACACACGATTGCCGACAGAAGGTGGATAGAAGAGACCGCACGTTTTAGTCACACAGCAGCAATCATTCAATAACGAATATATATATATTTGAATCGCCGTCGTACTAGTAACCACGTAACTGTATTCGTATTTACACTTGTATTCGTAACAACAATTACGTAATCGTATGCATGTAATCGTTACTAAAATAATGTAACTATGTAGTAGCTATAATCGTTTTCGTTGTTAACAATTCTCGTGGTCATGATGATAACTCAAATTAAACGTGAAATAAATAACTTGTACTGAAAGATATTAGATATTAGAATAAATAACTAAAATACAAAACAAAGAAAACAATTTGGATAAAAGAAATCTGAAAATAGCTTAAACAGCTAATCTAGTCTGATCCTTTTGACTAGTATGTGTAAATAAAATTTGTAAATAGCTCTAAGCTAATGGACAATGCTAAGTATTACACCTGATAATGAAAGGTAAATACATAAATGAGTAAATAAATAATAAACAAATAAACGATAACAGCAATGAAATGAAATGCAAAAACGCCAGTATGTACTATCTTAGAGAGAAAGTTGAAGGATTTGTTTATTGTACTCTGCTCTTAAGGATTCTGGAAGATTATTCCAAAGCATAGGGCCAGCATACGATATTGCAGATTTCCTTATGAAAGTGTTCGTTTTTGGTACAGCAATCCCCCCCTTCCGATTTTGTTGTCAAATGTTGATATTGTGATGGATATAATTTAAATTGTACATAGCATAGAGTGTGTAGTTTTCCAATGGATAAGGTCATAAAGAAGGTATAGGTGAAGCTTAAAGATGTCAAGGATTTTGAGTTCTTTTGGTGCACAGGGCGCGATGAAATCGGAGAATGTTAGAATTATGGCGATCATTTTCTGTGTAGTTACAATACTTTTGAAATGTGAACAATAAGTATTTCCCCAGATTTCTAAACCGTATGTGAGGTCAGGCTTGATCAGTGATTTATAAAGAAGCAAGAGAGTGTGCCTGGGGACAAAGCACCGCAACCTTACCATAATACCCCCCCTCCCTCAGTATTGTTTATTTTGGTTATGTGATTAATCCAAGTGAGATCTTTGTCAATTTCAACGCCAACAAATGTAACTAATTCAGCCTCGTTCACAGGAATAGAATTGAGGAGGAGACAGCCTTCTACCTCTAATAATTTGCGACGTCCAATTATTGTTATGTAGTTAGTTTTAGAACAATTTATCGTTAAGCGACTGGCATCACACCAGCATGCTACCTCGTCCGAATGTTTACTCACTGTTGTAAAATCAATATCAACGTCTGATGGAAATGAAACAGATTCGAATCATCTGAAAATAACTAAAAAAAGTCAATTGGATTTGGAAGGTCGGTGATAATATAAGAGAAATAGAGTTGGGCTGAGGACAGAACTTTGGGGACACCACAAGTTGCTGAGAAGTCCATTTGAAGAAATAAATTGCGATCTATTTCAAGGTAGTTTTTTATCCAAAGGTTGGGAATATTATCAACCAGTTTATAATATCGGAAAAGGTCAAGTTTGGTACAACCGGCTCATATATTTGTGGAGATATTGATAAAAATATGCCTCATTTGTTTTTAATTAAAAGGAGGAGTTTGTAATTAAATGCAACATAAAGATGAATGTGAAAACATAAAACCAACAAGGGTAATTGAATGCAATTGGATATTGATAAGATTAGATTTGCTTGGAAGTTCAAATCAAGTAATGAAACACACGTCTATTAAGAATGTCGATAACACACTTGTACCATACTCTCCAATACTTATTTAGACATTATAGTAACCAGATTTGCAATTCATGCCATATTTATAAATTTTCATGAGAATGGTGTTATTATTCTAAAAAGGACCCTGGGATTAATATAAAATTTGTGCCACTAAAAGTTTAAATCTTATTATACAACTATACTTCAGTAATTATCCAATTTATATCCCCATGGAGTCTGATATTCACCAGTCTAGTTTTCTTATGTAGTATAAATACATTTTCCCCAACAAAGTATTTTTTGTGAGAGGGTTTTCCTGCTGAAATATGTTAAGCTATAATTGTTTCACTATTTTGTAACTTTCATACAATTCATGTCATATTCTATAATAAGGGGACCGTGAGATTAAATTTACTATTAACTGAGAAACAAGAAGATTAATGAATTTCAAAAATAATTACTAGTACTTATGACTCCTTATTTTTGTAAAATACCATTCAGACAGAATTCATCATACATTGTGTCATATGCATGTACATTAATTCCCATGATTCAATTCAAGATGATAATTTGTCAAATTTATAGCCCGTTCTCAGTTTTATTTTATCATTTCCCTAAATCTAAGCACATTGCACGTGTTCAAGGTTTATTAGATAGCTTACAATTATTTAGTTTATAAAAGTCTATACTAAATCATGACTTGCTTTAAAATGGGGTATGATGATAGACCTTTCAAATCAAATTGGCTTATACATCTTTACTAAACAGAACGTCGATACGCTGTACTGTCTTCGTGCATACTTTGCAGTATCCTATGGTCACTAAGAATTGTAGTTCAGCATTGACCATAATTATTGTTTGTTTATTGAAAAATTATTTTAATTTTCCTAGACTCAACTATTGGGCTCCCTCTGTCCATACGTGCGTACGAGAACGTTTCCCAGTCATATTTTTATTCAATCAAAAGAGGTCAACTGGTGGACATTTTGCGGGACGACAAAAACTACGTTTAACAAGGCAGTAAGTCCACAAAATCAAAAATGACTGGGTCGATTTCAATTAAACCTTTTATATGATGGTAAAACATATTGAGTATTTTTTTTTCAATATCAGATTCATATGTTGGCTGACTGGGTGTCACTTTTCAAGAGTTAACTGGTGTGATTTCAGTGAAACTTGATACTAGTGTCATGAATTTGTTTGCGCGTATCTGTTGATCGACTTATTTAGTTGAGTATTAGCGAATTGCTGTGTTATGTCTGTCATCGTTTCAGCCTATTTGAGATCCTGGACGGAACTTGGCTCAGTGATTTGGAACTAATTACGAGATAACCGTCGCTATTCGGACTGCTTTTCTGACAGTTTGGTATTTGTAGTTATTAATGTAGTAAATGATTAATCAAAAGATATGACGTATTCAGTACTTAGTGTGATTGGCTTTATGATTGAAGGCCACGCCTTAGAGTCTTAATACTGCTTTGTAATTGGTTAGAGTTTTGAAAATGAATAAAGAGAGTTTGAGTTGGTCTTGGCGAACACACCACGATAGACGCAGTCCAGTCCTGGAGAGCCTTGGGAGGGCCTTGACGCAGTCTAGTCTTTGGCCAGCCTTGCGATAGTCTTGGGGACTTTTCCCCAGGGCGCTGTGTCTTATAGAGTGTTCGACTGACTGACTAAGACGAGAGTTGAAACGTATTTCGTTGTGTGTGTCTTATTTGACTGTAAAGCTTAAGTGACTTTCCCGATCCCGTACCTCAAGGGGACGCGATAGAGAGACCAGACGAGTTTCCCCCCTGGCAAGTGTGGAGAACCCCAGAGAGAAGAATTCCCCCCCTGACACTAGCTCGAAATGCGCGTTTTATTGCAATCCTCATTGTCATTTTTAGTCAGTGTGAAATTATTAACGGGAAGTTAGTCTGGACTGACCAGTGAGTTTGTATATGGTTGTACTTAAGCTAGCGTTAGGCTATGCAGTATCAGTAGACGATTGGAGCGTAGTTTACAGTGTTGATTATTGAATTACTGATGAGTATTAGGACAATACCTTACGGATAGATTAGTCGCTGGGATTACAGTTGAAGAAGAAGCATTTCACAATACTAGTATACCATAGGTAGTCAAGCGTGATAGTGGCACTGACTAAACACGACGGGGCAGACAACACGACACTACCAACACAGTGACGTAAATATTACAAGGTCAAATATTGCCACAGATAGTGTTGTTATATAATGTTGATGTTACCATGAATATAACTTAATAGTTGACCTGTGTCTTGCTTGGTATTCAACTGCATGTCATTACAGTGTGCATACTCGTATGAAATCGGAAGTCAACCTTTATTCCCCTATTTCTCATATGGTGTAGCTGTCAGTTAAAGCGCGGTGGCCTTCGCGCTGCGCATGTGCGATGTTTGTATTGATAAACATCGATTTTCCGATAATCCAATGCGCTCTTCAAATGGAAATCACAAGTATGAGGTTTAACCTGGGCTCGACTTGCACTGAATACCGCCAGTGACTCCTTCGATACCTTCCAAACACCTAAAAATTACCTAATTAAAACTTGGAAACGTCTCGGTTTGTACTCGTTGATCTGCGCAACAGTGAAAGTCGCCATCTTTGTTTATATGAGAACCATATATCTCGCGCATGCGTGGCGCGACGACTACCGCCCTTTAAGATTCAGAATAATTCGTGCTACATGTAGAGCATGATAGGCCAATGATTTTTAGAAACATTGGCCAAACCTGATCACTTCTTTTTGATGCGATTTATATTCATATTTAATCATAGCAACATACACATATCGACTGAATTCAAGTGAATACTTCTTAACTACGTAATTTAAGTTTATATAGATTAACACATAGTGTGTTGCAGCATCTCGGGTTACTGTGAGCATAACAGTGATCAATGCACTAGTATTGGTAATGATATAATATAATATATTGAATTAGAATGAATAGTATTGTTGATGTAGAATCTTATTGTCGCGAGTGGCAAGGGTACAAGGTACAATTGGTCCGATTATGTATGTTGTACTAGGAGACATTCCCCGCATCGATGTGTTGTGTTGATTTTCCAGCTGGTATTTCATCTCCATTTATGACCTTCTGATTTTCTGGCTTTCCGCACAAAAATGTCATGCCACCCTTGACCATAGGTGACAAAGAGTCTCTGTCTCGTTCGTACGCATGCGTGATAGCTGCCATTGAAATGATGAAGATGAGCAACGATCCGCAAGGCAGCGATTTAAAGAGACCAGCGTCACGACCCCAGATGAAAACAGCATCCAAAGCGGTGGAGGCAACATACATAGCTAATTCACCACGTCGACTACGACTCTCAAATTGTACACCGATCAATGCACCAATGAAACCTGCTATAAACATCAAATAACGAGGTACAGGTGCTGGGCTATGATGAACATTTTGACGTAGTAAGCAGACAACAACTTTGATTGTCGTACACATCACGGTGAGAAAGGTGGCAGACTTTACATACTTCATGAACAGTGATAGCAGTGAAGGCACTGGACTGCAAAAAATAACACAACATGTAACATTCCTCCATTTTGCATGTTGACTATGCAGCAATATCATATCTATCCGGAATTACATATCTATCCAAAATTTGTAATACTAAGATAAAGATTAGAATTACATATAACGAATTGGATATTAATTAGATTAGATATTGATTAGATTATTATAGGTAATCCCACGAGGTCGACGTGTTCTGACACGAGTGATTAACGCCTAAGTTTTGTATCAATCCGAGCCGCAGCCGAGTGTAGGCTGACGTCAATCTAAAAGAGGATATCATGAGACAATATATTCATCGCATGCATATTTTCATAGTACGACATAGAAAAGTCACAGATTGTTGACAGTGTAACTATTGGTGAAATTACACCGAATCCAAATATATCATTGCGTGCGCCTCGTATGCTAATTTTGTTGACGTCACAGTGCTCTATTTCACTTGAAAGTCTTGTTGCGTACGCTTTATATGGTATAGCGATTCTGCTCGTTCGTGATATTTGCTCCAATTCGTTTGAATTGTAAAAAATTTTAACCGATTTTTCAGAGAGACTGAAAAATAATAAACATGCGAGCTTGTCAAAATGAACCATTATTACCACAATCCGTAGTTATGAAACCTTACTCTCATAGCCTTACATAACCCATGAAGCTCAGAACTATCTTCAGGCAACCCGTACAATGAAAAAATTCGGATTATATTACCTATTGATTAGAAAGGCAGTACAATGTAAACTTGTCAATAAATTGTGGAAAAAAACGTTACTAATCTAGCAAAACTTCAAACTTTTCAGCAACTTGGAAAAAAGAAAAAAATGTATATTTTCATATTTTTATTGACATTTACCAAACTTTTCAGGGTCGTGGTTATGTACAGACACTTTGTATAGCATTGACATCGACGATTCACAGACGCTATATACAGACAGTTTGCGCAAGCCCAGATCGAATGTCCCAATGTGCCCAGCTCAGTCGCGCTAGCGAAACTCGCGACAAGCTCGACTAAAAAATAATACTAGCTCATGACGTAATTCGTGTCAATCGACATTAAAAATAAGGGTGAATAAGGGTAGAAAATATACAATTACCTCGATATGATTACCTTCTGTCTGGATAGCAGTAGAGGAATAAGATGAATTGGTAAGTAAATCTTTGAAAAAGTAAACCAACTAGCAAACAATTCGTGAAATGCATGACCAAGACACGACTTCCCCGGATGTAGGAATTCGTCACAGGAAACGAACCTACCGTAGGGCTTTCTATAATAATTGACGAGGATATCTTCCGTGTAGTCACGTGTCCAAGTTTTGACACCCTCATAATATTCCTTAGACAGGAGTTGTGGTTCCCGGACGAATGCAACAATAATCACCCCGATGCTGGCACTAAACACTAACGAAGTACCCTGTGGCACGGATGGCATTTTTCCGCGGCAGGCCAGTGCGTTGTACGCGGCGCCAAGTGCACGGGTAAACAGGAACATGGCAAGCCTTTTTCGGCGATCTGCTTTGTCTATGATAGCGCTGAGGGATGCAATGACGGCGGCAATGATGTAGCTAATTCCATCCTGAAACCAAACAAACAACATGTCAATAATACTATAAATATACAAACTTATCCCAGGCACGTACATAAGACCATTAAACACTAACCCGTGAGACGGTGGGCACTGGAATTTATTTAAAAACAGACAAAAACCATAATCAACTCACCTTCTGTTTTCGATATATCTGCACTAAATAAAGGGCGAGCTTGTATAGCGCTGGGTAGGATCCTAAGAATAGAGTAAACCTCAGTGCGTCGATGCAAACAATATCACGGATTACGTCACCGGGTCTGAAATGTTAGCATAATAAAATATTCAGCGATGAAAGATTTCCAGTATTTCACAGGATACGTGTAAACAACAGTTACTTAGTCAGACCTTGTCACCAATAAATAGCGACTGAACGATTCTGTGCATGTGGTGCAAATGATCGCAGGGACGCAGTAGGTTCACAGTATTGTTTCGATACGGTCTTGATCTCTGGACATCCATCAATAGACTTCCTCATGTCCTTCACTAGTTTCGTCGGCACATGGCAGGTTAATCAAGGATGGTGGTGTGGCCGTAGTTGTCAGCAAATTGCTTGGGAAAATCGAATACGTCTTGAAACAAAACGTGAGCTACGACTTCAAATCAAGTACAATATGACAATATGAATTGTGTGGAATCTATGAACTGGATCCCCGTATGTTGGATAATATCAATTTATCAAATGTTGTCGGGATATACAGGATTGTCTCAAATTTTAATATGGAACATTTTTGTATGTCACCCTATCAATAAATGTGAACGTTGGTGGCGACATTGTGAACGTTGGTGGCGACAATGAAATCTTTCACCACAAATGTCTATCTGTCGTACGTATGGTGTTTCTATCGCCTTGTGACATCCCTGTTCTATAAAGGGACTTGTAAAACTACAAAAAATGGACAAATTTATCGAGCGGCTTGTAGTATAGACCAGTGTGCAGAAATATGTTATGGACTTGTTACCTCAACTATTAAAGAGCACATACCGCGTATCATGGTAAGCATTGAGATTTGAACTTGGACTGAGACACCGCGCTATGAAATGATTCCAAATTGACGTAAACATCAAACTGTTTAAAGAAGCTTGCGCAGATTTCAAAGAAATTGCCAAATCTACATATAAAGCATACATTGTGTCGCTGGACGAAGAAGTAGGACATGGTGGATGACAACTTCTGCGAGAAACACTAAATCTCGTATATTCAGTTATAGCGTTTGATGAAGAGAAAACACAGGAGGATATTCATAAAACAAACATTTTCAAAACGTACTTGAAATCATTCGTTGCCTTGACGATGACACTACAATAACGAGCTTGAAAGTACAGCTTACATAAACTTCAAGCACTTTTTCAATCTCGCTATTGAAAGCTATTAACACTGGTTATCTCACTGTTATTACGTGTGCTGTAATTGGTTGAAATTCAGTCACATGACATTGAATATAAAATAAATAAATAAATAAATAAATAAATAAATAAATAAATAAATAAATAAATAAATAAATAAATAAATAAATAAATAAATAAATAAATAAATAAGTTTATTCTCCTTATTATAACCAATACAATAATAGAATCAAAAACTAAAGACAATGCAAGAACATAAGTGAGAATAGGATCGGAAAATAGCCGTCAAGTGACTGCTAATCTAGTCCGTTCCCATCTTCTTAAATAAATAGTCATAATAATTAATTAATATTACATAGTATAGTAGTAATGGGTCTGTAGATTTAACAATGTCGTCACTAGCCAAAAAGCAAGGAAGGCAGAAAGGACACAAGCACCTATCTATAATAACGATATAAACAATATTACTATTAAAATAAAATTGTTTGAGACCACACAAATACCAATATTAACATATGGGGGGGGGGTATGGGGAGTATGTACGAACAAAAACTGGGACAAGACAGAAACTGAAAAAGTCCACCTCAGATTCTGTATACACATTCTAAATGTGAATAGCAGATCAAGCAACATTGCAGTAAGAATGGATACCGGTAGATTACCATTGTTACACTTACTACACTATAAGGTTACAACTATTTTTAACATTGAAGAAAGACAACATAGCTTTCAATGCTATGAAGGAAATGGAAACAAACAAAGAAAATGATTACTGGCTAACAAGACTCAACAAAATAGTGCATGAACATCAAATCCATATGGATATTACAAAAAAAATAGCAGCAAAGTACTGAATTAACATAGACATACAAAGAACATAATCTAAACTGAGGACTTACAGTTTATTCAAAAATTCAAGAAAGACATTAAACAGGAATATTATTTACAACAATTCATTAAGGATGTAATAAAGCATTATTCTATTCTATATCACACGGATGACGTCACTGAAACTGCTATGCAACGATATTGCGCATAACACATTTTCGTTCACTGCACTGCCGCTGTTGCCTTCAACGATTTGAATGAACTTTAGCCATAGAGAGCATAGTAGTCTGAACACATTTCTCTGGACTCCATTCACTGACTAGAATTTTTTAACGTCCAAACATTGAGGGCGCTTTCCCGACTTCATGGAAGAAATCATTGATCTAGCTACGTACTTCAAGAGATAGGTGGCTTAAATCAAAATTTTAGGTAAGTATTGTTTGAGAAGCCTATTTAATGTAAAATATTGTGCTGATTTCAAAAAAAGCACTCTTATTGACCCTACGTAAAACAAAATTGCAATTTGGACCACATTTTGGTCAAAAAATTGTCATTTTTAGTCAAAATAAAAAAAAAAAAATTGTTTTGACATATGGGGGTCTGATGATGTGTATGTATGTTTAAAATGTAAGGAAACATATTATAGAAGTTGCATTAATAATTAAGAATGAAGATGTTGGTCATCACTTGGATATTTTCCTACAAAAATTGACCAAAAGCACAATTTTTGGACAAATATTGACCAAATTCTATTTCATTGCATATGGAGATTCTTGTAATGTACAAAATATTATATAGAGATCGGCAAAATATTTGGCAGAACATAGATTTGGACCAAATTTAGATTTCTTATTTACATACCTTTAAAGGGAAATGTCTAATAAACATAATTATGATGTGTTCAGTATATTTATTTACTACAGCGACAATTGCCACATTTAATCTACAGCTAGTAATGAATATTTTATTTTTCTATATAAGATGGATGA